CTCTTTCCCAACCCTTTTGCTCTCTCATTTTTCAACCTATTAAATTAATTAGTATTATTTTAATATGAACTTAGAGTTATAACCAAATAGATAACTACGAATGAGAATCTTAACTATTAACTGTTCCTCGGTTGTCTAGCCATCTTTGCGCAAATAATTCTATATACATAATCCCTATGGTGCACTGAAATTTGAAATATATCCTTTTTTCCCTCTAAATTTGTTTCTGCTTTGCTTAGCGTGTAGACCTGCTCAGGCGTTAATCTTTTCTTAATTAATTATTTTTAATAAATAACAAAATCCATAGGGGACAAGTGGGGTATAATTTAAATTTAGTTTCTAATTTTCAATTAGGGGTCAACTATTATACAAAGATACATAGTGAGAAAAATATAAGAAAGCACTTCAAATCATGAAAAAAAAGGGAATATTGGAATAAAAGAAAAGAAAAAAGCCTTTTATGCGTTTGGTTTATATATTTAGAATCATGATTCAGAACCATTTAAGATTTATGTGTGTTTTTTTATAAGTAAAAACACTATAACGAGTCACGAATTATGACACGAATCATTACTCTAAACGCATCACTTTTTAGAATCAAGCTCATTAATATTAAAGAGCTATCAATGTTGAAGAGAGAGGTGAGAGAGAATTGAAAAAAGAAAAAAAGGAAAATAGAAACAAAAAAAACTTAATGGCAATTTCACCTGCCCACCCAAATGCAAGAAAAGAAAGTCTTTAATCACTTTTGAAACTATAATGGGCATTGGGCAACGTTGCCCAGCTTATTCTCAATCAATATCAATATACTGCAATAAATCCGCACAAAAATTTGAACTCTCTCTCTTCACCCTTTTGTCTCTGGGCACGGGCAGCGGGCAACGGGCAGACCTTCCCGTATTATTATTATTATTATTATATCCAAAATCCCTAATCACTATAAAGCCCTAACTATGATACAACTTGTAAATCTCTCATCTATCTTTCTTCATGATTAGGGCTTCATAGAAACTTCTTACAGAGAGAAGTGGGTTTTTACCGTCCTGGCATACATATTCAGAAGCTCTTCTTTTCCTTCTTTTTAGGGTTTCATTCATATATCATACATATCATAAATATGTATATATGTATATGAGAGAGTCATGATTTTGTCAAGGTTTTGGGTGAAGTTGATCACAATAGCAGCAGTTAAAGTAGAGTGGGCTGTGTTAGCTTTTGTAGAATAATTTTATCAGAGAAGCTCATCATCAATATTCATCATCATGGTCTTCTGTATGGGCGTTTTCTAAAGTATTCAGAGAGTCTCATCTTTTTCTTTTCTTTTCTTTTTTTTGCTATATATATAGAACAATATATATATATATATATATATATATATATATAGGGTTTGTTTCCAAAGGGGGTACTAGCCTATTTGGATCATCGATCACTCACCTTTTTCTTTGCTCTCCGACTTTTTCAGTCAAATTTGGAAGCCTCAAAAGTACTCCTTACTTGTTTCCACTTCTCTCAAATGGGTCCTTCTGGAAGAACAAGAACGAGAACGAGAACCGCAAGAAAAGCCCGAAGAAAATCGGAGTTGATGAAGAGGACTAGTAACAATCAAGAAAGTGGTCATGATCATGAAGTTGTTGTGATCAATTCTCCAACTAAATCATCATCTTCCAACGATGATGATCACTTAATTCCCAAGACAGAAGGAATTGAGTTCGAGGCCGTCGATGATGATGACGTCGTCGGGTGTTCGACGCCGAAAGGTCAGAGATTTCGCATACCGGAGATTCGGACATGCCCGCCGGCCCCAAAAAAGCAAAGGGTGATCTCCAATTGCTCCATTCAAAGAACGCCAATCGCTTTCTTTGCTCCGCCAGATTTAGAGCTCTTCTTCTACTTTGCACTTCGCGGTATTTCAGTTTGAAAACAAAGACAAAGGAAATCATAAAGTCATGTTTTAGTATTTGTAAGGATCATATTCAATAGCAATAGTGTAATATGGTCTTTACAAAGTACCTTCTTTTTTAGTTAATTTAGTCTTGTTTGATGATCATAGTTGTTTGGAATATGATTTTGAGCGAGATGTGTGAGTGGGTCTTCAGACCAAAAAAAAAAAAAAAAAAAAAAGCAGTTATTACCTTGGCTTTTTTTTTTTTCTTTTTAAATCCTTGATTCCTTGTCTAATTTGAGTTGGGATTTTCAATTTGTGTAGGGTATAATACTAATCAGTGTGTGTTTAGGTGGGGCAGATTTAGTAAAATTGCCTACTTTCTAATTATGTATTGCTGACCAGTAGTACTACTGGGTTTGTTGAGTGCAGTACTGTAATCGATTGGGTTGGTTTTTTTTTTTTTTTTTTTTTTTTTTTTTTTTTTTTTTTTTTCAGTGTGGTTTTCGCTTTGTAATCGTCTGCTTTGGTTTGTTTATTAATCAAGTCAACATGAGAAAGAATAGACCTATTTTGTGTGTGTGTAAGCTCCTTTTTTCCTTAAAGTAATTATGAATCAACATTTTGCACAAATTTCTTATACTTGTGTAGTATATATGTATATTCTGGTATATATATTTGCAGTGTTGTGGGGGCTTGCTGTCAATCCTTAGGCTTATACCCCACCAATCATAACTGATACATACATATATATATATATATTTGTGCAAATACGACACACAATTTTGTTGTGTGACTGATCAATATTTTAGCACCAGTGAATAATTAATACTTTGGAATAATATTATACTATGCTCAAATGTCATAAATGACTGGGGGTTCCACTAAATGGAACATGCACCGCAAAGCTCTTTCTTCTCTCTCTCTCCTCTCTCTCTCTCTCTCTCTTCACACTTCTCTAGTCTGCAAAACACTTTCACAAAAGGTCTACCAATATTCTGCTTTTGGCCTGCAATAAGGAGATAAGGCTTCGACAGCTAGAAAAATTTACTTCTCAACAATCTGGCCAGAAGACAAACTTTGAGTGGAAATTAACGGCTAGTTGATCAAGAAGTTGCTTGGATTTTTACTTTAAAAAAAAAAAAAAAAATTGGGTTGTCACAGGATGAGAATGGGAAGAGGGAAAGTGACTATAATGGGAGTGTAATTTAATTAGTTTATTAATTAATTAATTAATTAATTTATTATTGAATATTGAAGAGAGAGTGATGAAATCGTGTTGTCAGATATGTGGGTATAAGTTTGTCTTAGCCAAGCCCAGCACAAATAAGGGAATCCAATGAAAGGTCTCGTGCGGGTTGTGTTCATAATTGTCACGTTAGGGAATCTCAAGAAATTTCTCATCATTTTTACTGACTTTGTATTTTCTTTTGTTTTTTTTAATAAATTAATATAAATATTGCTTCCGATAATATTGTGGTGTCAAATTGATTTGGGCACTCATTGTGACGATATATATGGCTGGCCTGGCCAAGGCAAGGAATATTTTTTTTTTCTTTCAAACATATCATTAGTCACATATATATGCACATCATGATTTCTACAGAATCATAGTTAAAACTTCTTTTTATGATTGAGCCTATACATATCAAATGCATCTTTTGGATAATTTTGGTGCTTATGATCTCATATTCTCTTTCTTTTCTATTTTGTATATATATATATATATATATATATATTTGTATATAAACCTGATTGCTCGAAATCGTTATGTAAGCTAACAAAGTAATTATTAAACTTATGCCCAACTTGTTGCATCTATTGATTTTTTTTATTATTATTATGTACTACTACTTACCAATATGTCACATATAATATCACTACCATATGTAGAGTATACGTGATGAGGAGAGAAAGTAGGAGTACTAAAAAAAAAAAAAAAAAAAAAAAAAAAAAAAGGGAAAAAAAAAAAAAAAAAAAAAAAAAAAAAAAAAAAAGGTGATCATACACATACACTATATATAGTGGCTGAAGCATTTAACTTTGAATATCTCATTTCATTAATTTGTGGAAGCTTTAGGGGAATAAATAAATCTTGGGAGGAATATGTGAAGGACGGTATGCATTCATTATAAGTTCCCTTATCCCTTAAATGATGTGATTCCTTTCCCTTACAAAACTCTTTTTTCCACACTATTGTGGTCCCTTCTTTGTTGGGTATGATCATATTGGCATGTGCATCTTTAAATTATATACTTACAGTTGCATGGCCATTTTCTCCTTTGATAATGATCATAAAGTGATGAATCATCTTGCCCATGCACGTACCCATTTCTATACGTATACATACATATGTTATACATAAATACGTACGTGTATGTATACATACTCAATTTTTACTTCTTGAATTCAAATTATTGCATTTGATCGAGTAAAAACATTGTCATTATACAATATATAATTTTGGGCCTTTGGCTTTGGAGTACTGATGTTATATAAAGTATTTTATTCAGTAGTCTGCTCTATATATATCAGGCCGACATAAAACATGGCTTGTTTTGTATGTCTGTATGTACACTCGCTTGGGAGGAGAGAATCCAAGAGTGATATGGATAAGATTAATTCATGTAAATTGGCTCACTATCACATAAATTTATTCTATCAATAATTTAATTAACATAAATATCAGAGACACATATATTGCATTAAGATTTTTTTTTTTTTTTCGTTTGAACATCACCAAGGAGCGGTAGTACTGTTTGCACATACCGCTTGTAAAATAATGTAAATTTGAGGGCCTGTTCTTTTGGAGTGTAACTTGAGTGTAGTTTTTGAGTTGAATTTGAGTTATAACTTGAGTTGAAGTTGTAACTTGAATAAAGTCGAGTAAAGTTGAATAAAGTTGGAACTTAAAAGAACATGAACTTGAATAAAGTTGAAACTCGAGTTGTCTTTTTTTTAATTTTTTTTGGACAAAAGAACAAGCCCTGAGTTTCAATTGCTTAATTTAAAATTGGTTAGAAGCGCTCGCGACCCTTTTACCGTGCTACCTTTTTTCAAAGAATTAAGGGGTTGTTCTTTTGCAACAAAATTCAGAAAAAGTTTAAATTCAAATTACAACTTTATTCAAGTTCACGTTCTTTTAAGTTCCAATTTTATTCAACTTTACTCAACTTTATTCAAGTTACAACTTCAACTCAAGTTATAACTCAAATTCAACTCAAAAACTACACTCAAATTACACTCTAACATGCACTAATATGACTGAAATAATGTTTTATATAGATATATATATATATATATAAGAATTAAGGCTCTCTCCGTGATTACTTACTTATTTTGTCCTTGTTTTTCAAAGAAATGATTAATTAGAAGCCTTAATTAGTGCCGTTTGTGCGACTGTGCATGTAAAAGAGCAAAGAGATAGAGAACACGGGTGAAAACTTTTCATAATTTAATATTTGAAAGCAAAACTTAGAATATGTCTATACGCGTGTGTGTGAAAGATAGATAGAGAGAGAGAGATAATGAGGAGGAGGACATTGGAATGAGGAATATGCAAAATAGGGATCTAATTATGCCCCCTTAATTAGCTATAATGAACATTAATAAACAAAAAAAATATATGTTGCATTTGGATTGACGTACCTGATCACTCCTTAAAGGTGAGTGGTTCTTTTTCAATTCCAATGATGGAATATCTCATCAAAACACAGAACACAGGCTTTAGTTGGATTATTAATATTATTAAAAAAAGTAAATTTTATAAATATCAACATGCATGGCTGCTACTTTTCTAGAATCCGAGGTTGCCCACATCACTTCTTTGCCAAAGAAGGGTAAAGCGGCCACTTCTTTAACTTTAGGGTCAAACTAGTTACAGCTACAGTTAAATTAACCATCTTCTTGCACTAACTCCCTCTTCCTTAAACCACCAAGGGATAGGTGTGGTCAAGACAACTCTCTCCCTTCTCCTGATCTCAGGATGCGACCAAGGTTCGATATTTTGGATTGGAGCCTCACTTGATTTTTTTTTTTCTGATTAATGTGTTGTGCGACGTTGAGTACGTGGAGGCTAGAGTAAAACTAGTTTCATCCTTTGAGTAGAATCGAATTAGAACCTTTCCATTTCTTTAGTAGGTTTCAAGATTGTGCAGGTGTTGAAATATGTGATTACAATAATGATTCCTTTTTATTCAGTAAAAAAAAAAAAAAAAAAATCCCTTTTTCTTAATGTAAATAGTTCTTAATTTTGTTTGTTTTTTACATCTTTTTTGTTTGTTTGTGTTTTCTCTTCTAAATTTAGGCCGACATGGAAACCCCCTTTCATTTTATCATGCATGGGCCTATTACAAAACCATAGCTAGTAGCTTTTTTTGACCACATAGTACGGATTCATATAAGTCTATTCATCTTGTGATTAATTTAGTCGAATTATTCCCCAAAAAGGGTTTAGTAAAATTGGTAAAGTGATGATCAGTAGAAAAAGACATGTTTTTTTTTTTTTTTTTTAGTACTAGAAAAAGACATGGTATACGTAGACATGTATGACAAACAAATTAAACATGTTTCTTTTCAAAGCCTTTTGAAGGGAGGAGAAGGTGGGTGAGTGTATTAAAAGAATGTAATTTAAAGAGAATCATAAGCTTTTGTTAAAAGGAATACTATGTTGATTTGAGGGCTACAGAATCCGTTTGGCCGGTGGACTGAGGTTACTGTAGAAAATATTAATCTTTGTACTCTAATTAACAAGTCTACATAATTTGTAAATAGTTTTCTTCAAAAAGGAAAGAAAAATCTCCAAGAAATTATAAGTACAGATTTTAAAATGGAATAGCAGGGCTGCGAAGAAGCTAGAAATACCACTCAAATTAGGAGGTCGCTCCATTTAAAAATAATCAATTGTAATTCAATTAATAAAGAGAAAACAAAAGACCACGATGCACTTAATTATTTAAAATCACATAAATAATGAGCGCGTTTGGAACTCGTTCTAAAATAATTTTGATTTTTGTATGAAAATAAAAATGAAAACATTTTCAATTTCAAACATAAATTATTTTTGAAATTGCGTTTTTTAGTTTTATCAAGAGATTATTTTTGGTATAAAAAAACTTATTAATGTCTCTCTCTCTCTCTGCTTGCGAGATGAGAAAACGAAAATAAAAAATGAAAAACGACTAAAAAGTCATTTTTCATTTCTCTCACATTTTACACTAAATCAAAAAATTATTTTCATTTTCATTTTTTGTCTTTAATTGTGCTAAACGCCGTTTTAGAATCGTTTTCATTTTTTTCTCGAAAAACATGAAAAATAAAAACAAAAACAATTCTAAACACGGCAAATATTGTTCTCAACTTGTTTTTGTAAATAGTATTGTTACCATCATTTTATGATACGGATCATATTTAATGTATTATGAGTACAATCCAAAATAGTACAGATATTAATTTCTTCAGATGTTTC